TGATAGACTGTGCATCTCCAAAGAGATTAACAAACTGCAAAGTCATTTGTTAGAGCGTCAGAACTAGGAGGCCTAAATAAAATAAAATCTGAAAGAAACGGAACATTCAGGCATTTAAAAGGCCAAAAGGACAAGTGAAAATTAACTTTGGATGCAAACTTCTTCAAGAGCAGCATCCTTTACCGAAAACCATTAAAGTATTTCACCAGTGACTGAACATAAACATGCACTGAGGGTAGTAATAAAGCAAGAACAAGACTTCAAAACAAAAAAATCACATAGCAGACGAAACCATAACTCTTCCTACTCCCAGAGGAAGTCCACTAAAAAGACAAGTGATTCACTCCTCCAATTAACGAAAGATGGTCAATATTACTCCCATACTCGACCAACATACAAATTCCCAGGCACATTGCACCTTCTCCAAATTTTTTTTGGATACAATGATATTGGGGGGTGGGGAATTGGGTTAAGCCGAGAGAACATATAGCATATGTACAATCATTCTTGGATGTTATCCTGTAGCTGAAGAACTCCCCCGCGAATTAATGGTAGTTCGGTGACCTTAGAGTTAGAATCTCGCTACCCGCTGTTATGTCAGGTCAGCGCCAGACATGTTGGCGTGAGAAACGTGCCTGGCTGCTCAAGCTATCTTACGTGAGACCGTCGGAACAGCTGCTTCCCTAGATATATTGCCCGATAAGAGTCATTCTCCCCATCTCCGTCATAGGTGGCCGACTGATTGTGCTGATGAACCGGGGTTATCCGCATTTTAGCAATGTAGTGTAGTGATCATGCGGATAGATAGTGTGCAGAGGTAGATGGGACTTATTATGTGAGATGTTGATAGTTCTGGTGTGCATTTGTTTAGACTGTAGTAGTGTTATTATCTTTAGGATCATGACTATGTTGATTGAATTGTGGATTAAGCTTCCACTGTCGAAGATTGGAATGGTCTTGGTCCTCTGATATGTCCTAGACGAGACAAGTGACTTTGATTTGGACACAGCAACTATGCACTCAAACACGTATCCATACCATGTAAATTTCAATAAGGATTCAGAGACGATGCTAGGCCACTATGACTACAAAGCCTCTTCGTGCTTGTTAGTTCTCAGTATGTTTAGTTTAGATTTTGGCATGAAAAGGATATGGTACCTTTTAATCTATAGGATGAGTTTTGTTCCCTTCTACTCGTTGCTGTCTCGCCCTCTTGATTGGTGCCCCTCCCCTCCATCTTCGTCATTTATTGTTCTTTTCTATTACATAGTTCATGTTTATCCCTTGATCGTGGAAAGGTTACTAGTTGTTATGGAATTCCAGATTCGTGCTTTTTAGTTAATGCCATTCGTGGCATCGATATTGTGCTCCTAAGTATTCATTCGTTGCGGGTGACTGTGTGACTCTAAGCATTGGTGAGACCAATGTCTTTATTGTTGCCAAGTTCTTAAGCCATGGTAGTTATTATTATAGCTCTTTCTATTTTCGCGAATGGGAAGTTCTCGTAAGCTCTTCGAACATAAGTGTAAAGATGATATGTTTTGTGGACTTATCTTATACTCAGGTTATATGGTTACCGTTTGAAAGAAAGCAGAATAGAACCAGTGATGATGGCTTTTTACGTACATTTCTATTCTGTCGAGCGTGGATCGGAAGTAATGCTAATATGCAGAATTAAGCATGATAATCCGTGTTAATTTTCAATTTCTGTGTAAACTTGAGTTAGGAGAAACTCAACTCCATACAGAGTCAATCAAACTGAGAGTAACAGGAAAAATCATCTTTACTCACCATTGGGCTTGTTTGCCATAGGAAAAAAAATTAGGTTTTTGTTAAATTTGAGATGAGGCATCTCTTCGTACCCATTTTGGTTTTGGATCGGTGTTGATGAGACTGTGTCATTTCCATAATGGCTATACTGTGATGAAACCTCATGTTCTATACAGTGCATGCATGATACATGATGTATAAGATATATTATGATTGACATCTCTTGTTGTGGTCCTGGGAATGGCAGAGAGGCACTGTAGTGTTTTGCTCTTGTATCAGGTTGGTTATGTTAATTGAGTTTATTCTAAACATGATTCTACATGAGAGCTTCAAAACACTTCTGTCTCATGTATGGGGCACCTTTAGTCTTATTATGTGCACTGGAATTTAGATTCTAATAATAAATCTGTGCTCATGTAATGAACACACTTTTCTGAAGCTGTCATTGTGTATAAAACTGAAATGCAAATTATAGTGCAGGTATGAACATTTGGCTAAAAGTGACCAACAATCTGGATGATTACTGTTTCTGGATGCATACTCAATGTAATTGCACATGCCTACTATTTCGTTATCCCGAGGCTGCCAATAGAATTCCGCTATATTTCGGACTTGAAGATGGACCTCTAGCAACTAGACAGCATACATATATGTGAATGTGCAACTATTTACGAGAAGTAAGTTTCACCTTCCTTCTATGCTCAAACTAGCATTTTAAGTTTGGTACATTGACCTAGTATCTCAATTTACAGATTTTGGATGACAACGAACTGAATTTATAAACTGTGTATGTTGGCATTTTTTTTACGCTTACATTCATCTAGAGTACGAGTTAAGGATGTTATTCTCGCTAATTCCCTTTCCTGTTATGTTCCCATGTATTGTGGAATTGGTCCCGCCTAAGTTATCCAATGTTAATCCTCAAAAAGGCCACCAGGTGTTAAATCCATGGTAATTTAGTCGGCATCTGATTATAAATATGCTTCTATTTAGTGGAAAATGAAATCAACAATCCATTTGATTCAATAAAACAGCTTCATTGGTGTTAGTCTCACTTATTTCCTGTTGATTTATTATTCTATGGCAGGCTGAAGTTGCGAGATCGTATAATGATGATTCTGATGGCCCACATTCGAAATATTCACTTTTTGGAAATCCAAATGACCCCTGAAACATTCAGGTCCGAGTGGTTCTTTACTAAAAAAGCAAAGAACCGAAAGAAGACTTTCCAAATATAAGGAAATTATGAGAAATATTTGTTTATGTATGCTGGAATAGCATCTTTACTATCTTTGAAGTTTTTACGCATAAAATTATCTGGTTTTGGGGAGCATATTAAACAGAAATTTCCCCTATTGCATTGGAGGGAGGGGTTGTTATGGGTGGCAAGTCTGTTTATCTTTTGATTGGTTTTGGGATAATGTTGTCATCATGCTGCTGGCAAAGAAAGGCGACATTACCGTTTCCAGTCACTGATTGCTGTGATTTAACAGATCGATAGACGAAGGAAACCTCATGGATGCTCTTGCACTATCTTATCACTTTCTACGTAATAGAGCTTCCAATTACTTCAGCTAATCATTGAAAGTGGGGAAGAAAATCAGTCAGTCCCTGTACAATCTAACGGTTATGGAGGGAGTAGCATCTGGAGCAATAGTTGGCAGTATTGTCTGCGGTTGAAGGGTAAACAAGTGGCTGTTAGACTTGCTCTCAAATATGTAATGTCATGGGTATATAAGTTACCTGGTGAATGTTAGCTCAAATGAATTGTACTAGTATATCTGTTTATGGCTCCCATCATCTTTGATCAGATTTGTTACATTTGCAAGCAGCATTTTGTTCCAGTAATGAAAATGTTCTTATTTGATAATTCAGCCTATAAATGTGGTTCTAGTTTCTCATAAAAAAAGCACTTATATACATGGTCATTTGTTAATTTCAGATATTGCAGGAAGGTTTGAGTCTATTTTTGGTCCTTGAAAATGTCTTGTTCCTGTAAGTTGGGAGTAAATTCTCCTGTCAGTCTCTCTGAGCCTCATTATTGTTAGTCTTTCCATGGAATCACATGCTGTGAATCATCCAAATCCTTCTCCTATGTTTACAGTCTCATTAACTGAGGTGTGGTTAATGGTGTGTTACAAATGCACTAATTATTATATTAGAATCATTATATTCTTATTTCCATAGAGTTTATTGTAGTCTTACAAATTTTGTTTCAGGTATATGCATAGAAGGAAACTGGATGCTGATTTGGATGTTCTCACAATGTGTAGCTGCCGCCTACCTCAAAGTGATTCCATTAGGAAGGAGGTACTGCTTTCATATTTGATAAATTGTGTATATTCTATTAATGCTAAATTGATGTCTTGATTACTTTAAGCTTGATAAAGGTTTTATATGTTGCATTAATTTTACTTGGTGAACCGTATCTTTTTGTTGTTGATGTGATTTTTTGGATGCTTCGGTCATACTTATGAGACAAGCTTTGCAGAGGTACAGCCACATTCTAAGTGCAGATGAGCAGAGGTTATAATTCTGGCCTCTTTGGACTGATGTGAATGGTAAAAAGGTAGAACATATGGGAGCATCCATGGCATATGTTAATTCTGGCCCTTTGTACTGATATGAAAAGTAAAAAAGGTAGAACATATGGCATATCCACGAGCACTTTAACTACGTTGAATTGTATACTTTACCTGTATGAAGTTTTTTTTGGCATGGGTTTGTAACATTTTGTCTTTTATAATTAGTTAAATTAGTAGTTTTATTTAATAGCCGACCCCACTTAGTGGGAAAAGGCTTTGTTGTTGTTGTTGTTGAGTAGTTTGTTCCGCTTGCAATGATCTTGTTTAGGCATGCTGCTACTGTTGGCTGATAGTTCAGGTTTTCTGTCTCTGCAAAAAGTGCATGGGATTTGTGTGTTAATCAGATGAAAAATGTGCTGAGGTCCCAACAATTGCCTGAGAATGCGTTATGGAAGTAATTGGTCAAGCGTATCATGCCACAGAGACGCTTGTACAGGTATACCTCCAGAAAGCATTTACAACATGGTTTAAATTCCATTACGAACAAAGGAAGAGCATTCATCTATGCCTTGTAAAGGCAGGGTTATGTTTTTGTTATGCAATCATCTTTATCGGCATTTTTGTTTGTGATGCAGATTGCAGTATTATTTATCATGGCATGCTTGTGGGTGGTAGTGATTTCTCAAGTAATTTTGAAAGAAGTAGGGACATTGATCGTACATCCTCTGATGCTGGTAGTCAGTCCACGGGTAGGTTATCTGAAGTGTTGTCGCAGGCAGACATTTGGCTAGAACGTGCTGAGCTGCTCCAAAGCCTTCTGGGATCCAGAATAGCTGCTTCCCTAGATGATATTGCCGATAAGGAGTCATCTCCCTGTCTCCATCATAGGCTGATTGTGGATGAACGGTACAGCATGGCTGTATATACATGCAAAAAGTGCAGGGTAGATGGACTTTGGTAGTTAAGTCTGTTGCTTTGTTTAACTGTGTATTTTTTCTTTGGAATGATTATGTTATGAATGTGTGGGGCTTCTGTCAGATTGATGTTGTCCCTGTTGCCTGGGGACATGCTTTGATTTGGCAGCACTATGCACAAGCTCATGTANAAGAAAATTAAAAGTGCCGTATGAAATAAGCAATTGCAATGTGCTTATTTTAGAAAACACTTGAATTTTAATTTAAAATTTCAACGTGCTCCCAATACAAGCGTTTTTACTAGAACTGCTTTTGACAAAAAAGAATTATGAACTTCCAATGATACAATCTAACATAAATTTAAAGGGTTGAGCCATGTCGGCATTCGGAGACTTCCGATTCCGACGACGATGACGTAGTTAAATTTACAGTAAACAACAATAACCATCATGTTAAAGATCGATACACGAATACAATTTCCAAAACGACTAAACTGATCACTCTCTGTGTCCCCAAAAATCTGTCAGCTACAAACCAATGTTTCCGAAAAACGTAACTCAGTCAATCAGTCCGGTTTTCTAAAGGAGAAAATTAAGTTGCAAAGGCAAAATATGCAGGCTTATTCCCGCCACATCAGTAGTAACTCCCATAATACGCCTGAGGAACTGAAGCAGGCTGCGGAGCCGGTGCTACTGCTGCCACGGTTGGATGCGCGTAACTTTGTGGCGGGACGGCCTGCTGAAATTGCAACTAAACTATCAGCTCTCGGAAACTACACGAAACACCAGAATAAATGAAAGACAATGTAACATACCTGAGCAGGATACGTAGAAGGATAAGCACCGTAAGCAGCAGTTTGTGGCGCCACCACGGGCGCTTGCGGATTAGCGTAGCCAGCAGTTCCATAACCACCATATGCATTGTACGGCTATTGAAACAAAATTTGACCAAACGAATCAGATAATCAATTCTACTTTTAAGATTCAAAATAATGGGCGAACGTGAAAATTCAATCGTTGAACAACGAAAGGTTTCTCTATCAAATGAATCATGTTAGAAAACTACCTGTTGGGTATAACCAGCTGGCCACTGTTGTCCCTGAGTAGCTTGCGTAGCTGGTGGCCAAGCTTGAGGCTGTGCACCATAACCAGCTGGCCATTGGCTCTGTGCATTTGGATATGCTCCCATGATCGACTGGGCGGGCGATGGAACACCAGAGTAAGCTTTAGCTAGCTTCACTTTATCTGAAGATAGAAAGTCCTCAGCTTGACGTTTTTTCAACTCTGACGTGCTGCTCCTATGAGGTATGAAGAGCTTAGCATGTCGATCCTCAGCCTTCTTGATAGACTGTGCATCTCCAAAGAGATTAACAAACTGCAAAATCATTTGTTAGCACGTTAGAACTACGAAGCCAAAATAAAATAAAATCTGAAAGAAACGGAACATCCAGGCATTTAAAAGGCCAAAAGGACAAATGAAAATTAACTTGGAGCACAAACTTGTTCAAGAGCAGCATCCTTCGCAGGGAACCATTAAAATATTTCACCAGTGACAGAACATAAACATGCACTGTAGTGCTAGTTCCACCTTTCAATAATTAAATGTGTATGTGTGTGTGTGAGAGAGAGAGAGAGAGAGAGAGAGAGAGAGAGTCCGCTCAAATATCATTCAACGCAACACTATACATACCTCTGAAAAAGTGAAATGTTAATCTTACAAGAAAACAAAAAATCTATACCTCCAAATAGATGCCAGATAGCTCTTCTCTGTCAGCAACGCTAGCAAAATTGGGGCTCTCTGAGCTGGGCTCTATGAACTTCACAACCAATGAATCTATGTGATCAATTCGCTTTGGCAGTGGCTGTATTGTCTCGAAAACCATCATGGACTGCATGCGAAAATTAAAGGAAAACGGAGAAATTAGGACATTGGCTACAAGAGAGGAGAAAAATATACATGTGTGTGTGTGTGTGTGTGTTTATCTATACAGAGAGAGAGAGAGAGAGAGAGAGAGAGAGAACCTCAAGAAATGCTCTTGACAGTTGTACATGCTTGAGTGCTCCATCTAAAATTTCTCTAGCTTTTTCCGCATTCAAAGAAACCTAGGAACAATAGAAAATAAAAGCAATAAAATTCCAAAACATTTAGTTCAGTTGAAATTTCACATCATCAATTTCACGTTCTGATTTTGAAAAGAAAAATGCAAGTAATAGGTGATATATTTCAGAGGAAAAACACATACACATAAAATATAAAAGGAACCACCAAAAACAACTCTAGTACGATCCACAAGACTTTTATTTTATAAAAAAAAAATCAATACAAAAAGCCCATGCTTTAACCATAAAAAAATGAAAAATTATTTAATCAAAATAGCATAAATATGCTACAGGGTCCAATCTAGAGAAGTAAAAAAATGAATAGGGAAATATAAAAAATAAGCTAAAACTTCAACAGTAAACCAAAATAAAAGATAGACATCAACTAATAACCTACCAGGTAAGTGAACCGAGAGTACTGAGCATACAACATGGGTAACGTCTGTGAATGCTCTTTTACTTTTTCAATGGCAATGGCCTGTTCGTATAAAGAGTAGGCAGCTTCCACATTTCCCTATGAAAAAAAATAAAGAAATGACCAGGTTTAAACATGCAATATGTGTAAGGAAACTGGTATGGATCAACTTGTTTACATCATCTTACCAAACGGTGTTCCATATTTGCATGCTTCACGATTGCTTCAAGAAGACCAGGCGAGAGTTCAGAATGTACAAGTTGATAGGCAGCTTGAGCACCAGGTATATCCCCACTCTGCTCTTTGAATCGAGCAGCAAAAAGGTGCATCTCCGGTTGTCTCTGTAATTTCAAGAGAAACAGGTCAAACATGCAACATTACCAGAAAAAAGAAACGTTACTCAACAGAACGATAACATAAAGAAGGCATGTTCCCAAAATTTTGTTCAGTTATGATATCTCCAGTTCAACACATAACTAAACTAAATCATCATATGATAATATATCACTAACTTCAATATAAGGAAAACGAATGCATCCCGTATGAAAGGCTGGTAGTACTGTCGCATAAAAAGGTCTCTGTTATGCATCTGTAATTCTGTATCTAACGTAGGGTAAAAAAAGAAAAAGAAATTCCTAATCTTCAACTGGAAGAGGCAAGGTTTACAAACATAACACAAGGCAAAGATAGAGAGAAGAAAATGCCATGGATGATTGTTTGATCATATTCTGTATCTGCCTAGCTCACTTTGAGGGTTCAATGGGCGGTAATCTACAATAGTTTCAATACTTTAAAATCTAAGTTCATAATCATGTTTGTGACTGCTGTGACAGGTAATATATACAACATTCCAGACCAATCTTGATAAATGCCTGCACAACATTGGACCTCAATTCTCCACGCAAACTAATTCATTAACTGATTCATTTTCAGTCCACAAACTACAATTTACGAGGATACAAGATTAGTTAGAAAAAAGGAAGACATGGTTTTATCATCATTATCTCTTTCAAAATAAAGAATCATTGAAGTTCATTCACCAAAAAATCATGTCTAAGTTGATAGCATACAAGGAAATACCTTCACAAAAACCTGGGTTGCACGTGCAAGAGCATTATTGGCAATATCCATACTTCCACTGGCCTCCATGCATAGAACATATCGAATCCAGTATTCAGGATAATTAGCACAAGCAATTAGGCACCTTTCATATAGCTTGACAACCTTCACAAAAACAAAATAAAAATTAATTAAAAAAGGTGCATTCATTAACCATAAAAGAAATGAATGGATAAACAAAACACAAAGGAGATATGCCCAAGAAATACTCCATTAGTAGAACAGAGAGGCCCCTCAAATAGGAAAGGAGGGACCCTCCTTGCCTGACAGACAGATGGTTAGGAAGACAAGAAGATACCTGCATGCATAACATTGGAACTTTAAAAACAATAAAATTTACCAACACATCATGAACCTATCACACGCACTGACAAATGAGAGTTTGAAATACTTAGCCTCAAAGAAACCAAATCGAAGGCCCATGCTTTAGTCTCAGTTCAAATTCCCGTTTTAAAAGTTGCTTCATCCAACGATTTAGCCAATAAAGCATAGTGCAGCAAATATTACTCGGCTGTGAGTTAATGTATAACAAGCAGGGCAACTAAAAACTTCAAGCCATAAATAAAAAAATGAAATCAAATTCACTGAAAATACCTTGCTCAAGTCGCCCTCCCTTTCTATAAAGTCTAGGTAGCTGGTCCAATTTTCAAGCTCTACAGAATTGAGAGGCCGCACGTGAAAGTAGGGCCTCCTAATAGCTGTTTCAAAACTAATGATCTTAGAATCGAACTCTTTAGCTTTCTTATACACCTCTTCTCTAATGGTGATAAACTTCTCCAACTCCTCGGCTTCTGTTAAGTCAGCACTTACAGGTTTAGGAGATTGTTCTGCACCATCAGATTGAACATCTTCCCCATTTACTTTGTCAATACCCTCTGAATGTGCACCTCCTGCTGCTGCAGCTTCTTCAGCAGTCCTCAATTCTGAGAGTGGCCGACTTCCAGCTAACTCCTTAAAGCTGTTGGCACCAGGAATAATACAAACAAATTTCAATACCATGCAAGTAAAGATGCACTATCCACATAAGTGTTCATGCACATAGAGAAATTGCATGTAAACATACAATATTGTAGATTTAGTATAATTCTATGAGAACCACAAATCAGACACAAATACATACTTATAACCAAACATTATGAGGGGCATTCTTAGCTTGATGGCAAATAGAATATATTTGTACTATATATGAACACTTCGAATTTACAGGTTACCCACATGCACAGCACATCCATAAACTACAGTCATGCATTCCAAGACAACAAAGTGGAACCCGGCGCCCCAAACGAAAATAAGACAATTAACTACTTGAAGTTTAAACGAGTATAACAGATGTGAATCTTTTCATAAGCTCTTCCATAAACTTCCAGAAGCTACTTGTGATACTAGCCAAGCACACAGTGATACATTGTCCCCGGCCCTACCAAGTAAATAATTCAAAAACAGCAACAAGCACAGACAATCACCGCTGACATTATCTTCAATGCCATACAAATCTAAGATGTAAATGAATAAACTGAAAACCTCAAATACTGTAACCAAAAAGAGAAGGAAAAAACCCCAAAAAATAAAATATTAAATTTAAACAAATATGTGAATGTGCAGCTGGTGAACACCTGTTCCAATACCGATCCAGTTGCTGATTTGGGTTCTCTAATATTCGTGAATAGATCATGGCAAGGCGGCCCCACTCCTGCTGCATGTACTCATATTCTATATACTTATCCCACAGAGTAAAGGACAGGTAATCTGTTCCAACATAAGCAAGTCCTCGCTCAAAAAGCCTGAAATGCCATAAACATGAAGTATTGTGATGAGATGAGTACAAACGTTATACAGCTGAGATAAACACATCCATGAAAGGGAGACACCGGCACAATTCAGTCTAACACCATATGACACTTCTAAACGCTGAATTTACCTTCCTGAAAAAAACCATACTATGTCCGTCAAATGGAGCAGTGATAGAGGCCATCTAAGCCCTTAACTGGATGAGATCTTCCCGGCAGCAATTTGCATAATGATGCACTTCAGAGTGTCAAAGTTAAATAGAGCCATAATTCATTGACTTCTAAGTTACTAAGATGCAGGTCTTCATGGTAAGGTGGAACATACATTTGAGGTCAAAAATGGAATTAGAACGTTTAAAAATATAAAAAAACTACACTCATACTGTAGCCTCAAAACCAAGGGATTGCACATCAGAAAAACATTTCAAAAGTGCATTCCCATCAAACCTTTCTGGAAATACATGTGAGGAATCACTGTTGAATCATACTGAAATGACGTTAGAAAACAAGAACACCAGTATGTTGCAACTGAGAAACCATACAACCATGAACTACCAAAGCAAAGACCAGCACCAACAATGCATAAAAGAAGAGCTATTACCTTCTAACAGTGTCTGGATCTCCATATGTGCTTATAGCAAAAATGCAGTAATGCAACCAGACATCAACTGAATAGGTAACACCTTGAACTGCACGTTCATAAACCTCCACAACTTTATCGATAGAACCTAGACGTGCCTCATGATCCGCATACTTTTTCCAATAACCATAACATAACGGAAACTCTGCTAAAAAAGCATCATAAACTTTCCGAATTTTCAATATGTTATCCTGCATATAAATGCAGAGCAATTTGTTAGTTCAAAAAAGAACTGCTAGATAAATGTATGAATCATATTCAAATAGTCAGTAGATTCCGACAGCAAGAGTTGTGGCAAACACCAACTTGATTGCAAACACCAAGTAAAGATTTCACTTATAAGAACAACAATATGATTAACCACAATATTTATTGCATATTACCATTTCCATAATATAAAGGAGCAGACTTACTAATTTGGAAATCCTCCTTTCCTCACCGTCTCACTACAATTATTATTACTACTACTATTATTTCATTTTCCAATTGGTACTACTACTATCAATTTAATTTCTCGGTCAGAAGAACTATTACTAAAACTTAGCCTCTATCTTTTTATGCCTCATAAAATAAAATAAAACTAATATCTAAGATTATACAGATAAACTACAGCTATTTCAAAAATTAGCTACTTTCATATTTACCCACTAATGCAAACCATGGGAGCACCATGGTATGCTAAGGCAGCTGACCATCAAAGAAATATCTAAGAACATATACAAGGTACAGAAAGTTCACAGTTTTGCAACCTCATATGAATCATACTTAAATAACAACAATTTCTCGGCCAAAACCTTATCTTTTGCAACCTCAGATGATTCACACTCACCCAAAAGATTAATCTAATAACTCAAAAATCCAGCTAACATACCTGTGCAATCTTCTCTGTCTCTTCAATTAAAGCAGTCCAGGCATTGAAATCCAAGGAATTAGCCCTCACAATGTTCCACAGTCTATCTTCTTCGACAGACATGGCTGCAATAAAAGAAACGAAAGAAATAAATATATGAAAACATGTAAACTGATAAATGAAGTAACTCCAGAGTCCAGACCCATAATCTAGAAGGAAGAACAAAATAGCAAGCAGATGAAGATTAGAAGATATAACTACAAACTCCCTATTGGAATCCCAACATTTAATATCCCCGTGTTTTGAAAAATGGCAGATTCGTTAAAGGAACATAATGAACAAAACAACCTGTTCCTGAGGGTACAGTTACTATCTGACAGGACAAGCATCATCATGTATTTACTGAAACCTTAAAGCATCTGATGACAAGTTCAGAATTTTATCCGCAAATAGTACTGTCTCTATTGGCTCACTGACAACTTATGGATATACCAGAAACAGGATATTTACCACATTTTAAATCCCACTCCCATGACAGCAACAAGATAATTTTGTCATGGTTAGAAATCTCTCCAGATATGCTTACAAGATGAGTGCATATCTTTTACTAAACACTTCCTTAATAAATGTTCAATTAATACAAGAATACGAGGTTTGTTTAACAAACTACTGTTACATAATCACACGCTAACTTTCAGATCAATTACTGAAAGGTATAGGTTTCATGTGGCTAAACAAAAGTCACCGGTAATCTCACCCAGAAAACATGCAAGAGAACATACCAGAAGCATCCCCAAATTGTTGTGGATCAAGAGGTTCGGCATTTCCATTATCAACTGATGAAACAGTTCCCACTCCAGAAGCAATAACACCATTCATAGAAGAATCATAACTAGCAACTTGAGATGACTCCAAGGCGTCATTTTCATTACTAACAACATTCCCACTAGCATCTGTCACTCCAACAGCTGGTTTGGTCTCATATGCTGTGTAACTTTGTGTTTCTTGCATGAGAGAATTGGGATCCGCAGAATATGCATTTCCATCACCTATGTTAGAACCGCCAGGTGTATTAGAAAACTCTGGGGTAGCCTCAGAATGCAATGCACCCGTATCAGTAGCAATATTTGAGCTGGCATCAGCATATCCTGTTGAAGTATATCCTGCTGATGTATACCCCATCACTGCAGATGTTTGAGCAACAACTGTCTCACTGTCTGCCATACTTGACGATCAAATTTTTGCCTTCCTATAGTACCAACTGCAAGAATATAAACAATAAACTTATAAGCACTACAGCCAATTGAGAGGAGCGAGACAGGGTCCCACTTACAATTAGGTATGCAATCCAAAACATATAGTAATTAAGAACTAACCACTTAAAAAAAGGAGAGTAGAATGTTCTAACTATTTGTTTTGGCAACATTGTAACCTCTGGATACTACTAGAGCTGTTATCATGGAACAGTAGGAATGAAGTCAAGTACAAGCCTCTAAAAACGGATCAGACACGGATGCACATTGACTAACGTCCTCAAACATCCATCACACATATATTCAACTAACAAAATAGTTCTTACAAACACATTATGACATGCTTTAGTAGAGAAACTGGTTAATCTTTACATTCATAATATGTAGTGTAAAAATGTACTGTAATTAGTGTCGAACTAATAAAACAGAATTACAACAACTAATTCGCCATCAAAACCACAGCTCGGCCACTATTTGACAGATCAGCCGTGTAAATACCCTTTCAGGACAAATGTATTCAAATCATCGCAGACACTAGTAACGAATCAATAAAAATGCGGGTTCGATAAAATTCTGATGAGTTTTCAACTATTAATCATTACATCTGGGTGCAATTTCTACCAGTTTAATTTCAATGTCGAAACTCCAAATTTTTAAATAATCAAACAAAACTGCACCTAAGTTTCTGCATATTACATGTCCAATCTGAATACTAACAGAACTAAAACCAGAAGGGAAAACAACTCTCATTGAAAATTAAACAATTCGCAGTCAAATTAAAACAACAAAGAACAACCTAACAAGCAAAAAGCCTAGGGTTTGGTAGGATAAGATAAACCCTAATTGAAATACATAGCAGTAAGAAACGGAAACGGAAACGGAAACGAAAGGGTTGGGAAGAAGAGAGAGGTACCTGAGGGAAAGATACGGCGGCGTTTTGAAGAGAGTTCTGGAACTGAGCTTCGAGGAAGATACGGAGAGAGAGAGAGAGAGAGAGAGAGAGAGAGAGAGAGATTTAAAGCCCTTTCAGTAAACATAAATTTTGGTGGTAAAACGAGAAGCAGCAGAAAAAGAGAGACGGCAACTTGAAGGGTGTAAGATTAATGGTCCTCAATTTTATTCAAATTGAAGCAATGGTCTCTTAATTAAAAATTAATTATTATTGGTTCCTCAACTTATCAAAATGTGTAGCTATAGTCATTTTCATTAATTTCGTCAAAATTTTGTTAAAATAAGTTATGTTGGAATTACCATTTATACAATTAGGGTCCCTCAATTCATCAAAATGTGTAATTATGGTTCTTTTCGTCAAATACGTCAAAAAATTTGTCAAAACGAGTTATGTTTGAATGATCATTGCTACAATTGGGTTAAAGTTAAGAGACTCTTTCTCTAGTTGAATTAAAATTGGGGGACCAATGGTAATGGATTTTCAGTTGAGGGACCAATGGTAATAGATTTTTAGTTGAGAGACCAGTACTTTAATTGAGTTAAAGTTAAGGGCCATAATTATAATTTACTCTTTATTTTATTTATTTTTCTTTTCTTTATTTGTTTCCTTTTTTTAATGACGTGGAGGTCTTTTTGGATTTGGGCCATCCCAATTTTGGAGATACGGGATACTAGGTTTGGGCCTGTTGTGATAGACTAGCCCAATTAACCAAATGAAAGAAAGCGAACAATGGCTTATTTCAAAGTGTTTTTAAAATAGTTAAAAGCATTTTTCGCGAACATGTTTTTTTAGATACTTTCTCTTTATACCCAAAATTCCACTCTCCATCTCCGCACCAATGAAGCCATGTTTTTCCTTTTCTCAAGAAACAAATAATTGTATCATTTTCAATAAGTTTAGTAGTGTCTTGTCTTTGTACGTTGGACAAAGTTCGAGAGTTAAAATCTAAAATCCAAATGACAAATTTACGTTTATCGACTTACAATAGTAGAATAAGAGAAGAACTCGATATATAAATTCTCACAAGTGAAATACATCACACCTTAACAAAGCTCAAATGATGAAAGAAACAAATCATTTAGCACACCGAAATTTAACTTGAAGTGAAACTTGGTTTCCACGTTCCAAGACATGCATGCTGTTTTCCCACCAAGGCTTTCTGAAACTTACTTTTCACATCGCCATTATTACTGTTAAATAATGTTTTAATATTGGAGCCTTTGTTCGTGTTCATAGCCATAGGCCTTGCAGTTGCAGTTGCCTTCTTCTTCGCCTGACTTGGAGCTTTCTTGGCTTCTTGATGGGGCCTTTGTGCAGAACTGGTAGCAGTATTAGGGTTTTGCACTTTGATAGCCGGTGAGTTCTTACGATCGACTATCTTGTTTATGCTTCCAATCATCCCATCATTTTCTGAAAACCAAAAAATCGAAAAATAAAAAACCTCGATCCTTTGCGTGAAATATACAAATTCTGATGAAAGAAGAATCTCAGAAGATCAATTACCAGGACTCGATAACACGGCGCGAGGACGGAGGACTAAGCAAGCTTTAGCATCTGGTGTTGTAGCCTTGCCAAGATTTTTGCTGTTCTCTATTGTCATTAACAAGTACAGATAAATTTAGATGGTAATAACCAGAAGGGTAAATTTTTTAAAGCTAAAGCTCAACCTTTGGATGAAGAAATTGATTGTCTGGGTAACTTAGGTGCATAAGCCTCCATGGTTAATCTGGCAAGCAATGGTGAAGAACAACTTTTAATCTCCTTCGCTGCGAAATATACGTATGAAACTTAGGTATCGTCCTATACGAATACATATTTTTTTGCTTAAATCAACTTAATAATTCTCGAGAAGTAATGGAAATTATATCGTAGTTCAACTATTTATAAATTGAATTTCGATATGCATGGTTTTAATATCCGTCGAGAATATCTTCTACGTAACTTGTATTCGTTCTTGAAAAACCTGGAAATTACACCTGCATGGATGTTTGCCAACAGCAACTTTCTGTGATCATCTTGTGGAGAAAACTGATCTTCTTGTTGATCATGTAGCCTCACCTTCACCTTCGGATACACTTCCAGAATTCAAAACAAGCAAAAGAACGTTAAACACAAAATTAAGATCATGAATACAAGAAAAATTTGAACACACACTTGAAAAAAAGAGTAAATTCCGAGTTCGACTTTTCGCACTCTGTTGTTTCGTTTGTGATTCGAAATCCGGAAACAAAGATTACTTCCAAATTATCGGTATTGGAAAATATTGAAGGTTGATAAGAATTATAGAAGGTTTGCTGAAAAAGCAAAAGACACAAAAAGGCAAAAGGGAAGAAATTTAATTTGTAATTTGTCGTCTTTACTTTCAAATTTGAATGGATTTGGTTCTTGTACATCTGTTTGTGTTTGAACTTTGAAGGCATGAAGCATAAAAAACGATTCAAATTACACGTGCAAGTTGTTGGAGTCAGAGAGAAGTAAGAAGGAAGTACTCCCAAGTCCCATCTCATAAACCGAATAATATGCAATCTCCATTTCTTGACTTGAAAACCAAGTTGAATTGATTCTTTTTTATGAGTGCACATGTGGGTTAGTGGGCATTTTGTCTAATCTTTTTTCCTCAAACATTGTGGATCTTGATTGAATTACGTGAAACTGAAACGCTAAAGTGGTAGTTTGTCAAACTTATTAGGAGTAGTGATGTGGTAAAGTTATATCATGATGCGTGAGATGTTGGAAACAATATCATCTTGGTATCCCCATTAAATCAAAAGCTATGAAGTTTGAGGGTTCAGGTTTCTAATACAAGGTCAAAATCCATTTTATTTTAATAAGTTCATGGTTGTCTTACTTTTCCAATTCGTCACAGGACTCTGTAAAATAATTAGAGTATTGCTTTGTGGACCAAATGTATTTATTACGTTGATGATCATCTTTCTAATACAAGTTGATCTCACATACATAAGTGAGATTCACTTCTATTAATGTGGTCAGCAAACTTTGTGTAGAAAGTGAAGAACAATAGGGTAGGAAACATAAACCAGATAAAGAGAAATTGTTGGAATTCACACTTCATTCATTATCATATGCGGATTATATAATACATTATCAACAAGAGTCATATATGAGATTAGATTACATGAGAGAATATTCTAAGTATACAAGTAACAAATGAATAGTGTACGTGATCTAGGACTCTAGATTAACACCCCCCCCCGGCAAACTCGACGACGGAGGACGGACGAGTTTAGATCATAGCTGCTGGTGGCGCGACTTCAGCAACCTTTTAGTAAGTAAATCAATGGGTTGATCCACAAATGGTAGGTAATGGACTTGATGGCTGCCAACAACTACGCGTTCACGAATGAAGTGATAGTCGAGCTCAATATGCCAAGTGTGTGCGTGAAAAACAGGGTTCGCCACCATATAGGTGGCGCTTAAGTTGTCACAGTAAAGATATGCTGGGAAAACTGGAGTAATACCTAACTCATAAAATAAGTAGGATAAACACGTAGTCTCGGCATAAGCATGAGACAGAGCCCTATATTCGGATTCCGCACTTGACTTGGAAACTGTGGGTTGTTTCTTTGAACACCAAGAGATTAAATTGGTACCGTGGTAAACAAGATAACCTGTCATGGATCGTCGTGTGTCAACACAACCAGCCCAATCGAAGTTTGAGTAAGCCGAAATACGAGAGTAGGGGCTGTGGTGTGAGGAATAAACCTTGGTTAAGGGAGTCCTTAACATAGGGGTGGGCAAACGGGCCCTAGGCCGCGGGGCGAGCCGGTTCTATGCAGTTCGGGGCGGGTACGGGGCGGGTCTTAAATTTGTAAAGACAAAACGGGGCGAGTTCACAAAATTATCGAGGCGGGGCGGGTGCAAAAGCCTGAGAAAACAGGGCCCCGACTGGGCCCGTCTGTAACATTTTTCACTCATGAGCAGCCTCACTTTCTCTCTGTAACATTTGAACTCTCTCTCTCTAAGCTTCGAGAAGGAGACCACATTCACCCACGTCAGTTTTTGTCCAAATCAAACCCCTAAACTTCTACTTACGAGACTTGTGGGACACAAGGAATTATATGGTGGTTTTGCATGCACCATTGGAGCACTGTGAGGTGTTCTTCCATAGAGTCCGAGAGCTTTAAGCTCTACTTAGAACTCAGGTGAGGCTACCTCTTTTCTATCTAAGATTTTCTGGTTGTTCTTGATGTGTTGTGATTTCGAGGTTGGGGCGTCCCATCTATTGTGTTGTTTTAGGGCCTAGGGTTACTAATTTAGGGGTTTTCTATGATGGTGGATTGAATGACAAGCAGGTGTTAGGTGGTGTCTCTACCGGTTCAAAACTCAGCGTCGTCCCCATCATCGTGGTCCGATCATCCATCATTATTGTCGCCGCCACCGCCGTCGTCATCTTTCTCAAAAGTCGACAAGCAAAGGAATCAGACTGCGGCGCTGGCAACAAAGGGTTTGGGTGGGAAAAAAAATAGAGGACCCATGTACCGGCCCGAACCGGCCCATTTCAAATGGGTCGGGTTAGGTCCGGTTCCAGTTATCAGATTTGCAATGCTCGGCCCGACCCGTTGTGGTTTCTTTTTTAAGCGGGTCTGATCCGGTCCCTCTAAATTTGGGCCCTGCCCAGCCCCTGCCCACCATTACCTTAACGTATCGTAGAATGTGTTTAACTGCAACCATATGAGGAACCGGAGGAACACTCATATATTGAGCCACACTATTGATGGCAAATGCGATATCTAGCCGAGTGAGTGTAAGATACTGTAGACAGCCAATGAGGCAGCGATATTCCGATGGTAAAGCTAACAGTCACCAATATGGGCAGAGATGATGTGTTTAGCAGCCACAAGAGTGGAGCTAGGCTTGCACTCTAGCATTTGAGCACGATGCAACAAGTCAGAAACATATTTTGTCTGAGAAATGTGAATGCTGTGATCTGTTCGATGCATCTGCAGGCCTAGGAAAAAGGTTAAGGGACCTAGGTCTTTGAGATTAAAAGCTTGGCCAAGGTGGAAGACAAACTGTTGCAAGATGTGGTGGTGGCTACCGATGAGAACAATGTCGTCAACATACAGTAGCAAGATGATAATGTGAGATTGATGGCGAAGTATGAATAAGGAATTATCGGCACGACTTTGGCGAAACCCATAACTCAGCAGGAATGAACTAAAACGGTGAAACCATGCTTGCGAAGCTTGTTTGAGACCGTAAAGTGCCTTGACTAAACAACACACATGATAAGGACGTTGAGGGTCAACAAACCCCGATGGCTGCGACATATATACTTCCTCAGTCAAATGGCCATGGAGGAATGCATTTTTAACATCCAATTGACGAAGTTCCCATCCCTGAGAAACTGCAAGGGAGAGAACAGTTATGATGGTTGCGAGCTTGATCACAGAACTGAAAGTTTCACCATAATCGATGCCAGGTTATTGATGAAATCCTTTTACTACCAAACGCGCCTTGTAGCGGTCGATGCTGCCATCAGGCTTTCGTTTAATACGGAAGACCCATTTGCATCCCACTTTATTTTGATGCGGCGATGGAGGAACAAGTATCCAAGTTTGATTATTCATTAAAGCATTAATTTCGTCAGACATAGCATCGCACCACTCATGTTTACAATTAGCCTGAGAGAAGCACCACTCATCAGTAGACAAAGAAATTTGTAATGCATGGGGTAAAGGATACATAACACTGCCATCAGTCCATGTTTTTTGTCGTCGAGTGCCAGCTTTGGTTTTGGTGACCATAGGATGAGTGGGTTGTGCATGAGGAGCAGGACCCACGAGTCGAGATGAAGCGGGCCTATTGGAGATGACAGGTTCCAAATTAGGTGTTGACGCACTGGGAGGCCGATGAGGTGACGACACGAGAACGGGAGATGAAGGTTCAAGAGGCAGGGCAGACAATGGGCCTGGTGGTGCAGGTGATAGGTAGCTATCAGCAATTGGAAATAGGTCTAATTCAACAAAAGAAGCAGGGGCTAAAGGCTTGACCTGTTGATACGGAAAAGCTGTCTCGTCAAAAACAACATGACGGAAAATGTATACACGGCCCGTAGTGATATCAAGGTTGCGGTAGCCTTTATGGTTAGCACTATACCCAATAAAAACGCATTCAATGGATTGGTTCATTAATTTATTCTTAACATATGGTCCAAGAAATGGAAAACAGGAACAACCAAAAGTGCGTAAGTGAGAATAGGATGGGGATCGACCAAACAAAAGTGTATGAGGGGTAGACCAATGAAGTGTAGAAGTGGGAAGTAAGTTAATGAGATGAACAACGGTGAGCACTGCTTCCACCCATAATTTAAGTGAGGCGTGTGCAGCGGCATGTAGGGTACACGTCATGTTGGCGATATGATGATGCTTGCGCTCAGCCAAGCCATTATGTTGTGGTGTATAAGGACAGGAAAGACGTTGTTGAATACCAAAAAGATGACATAGTTCAGACATAGAATTATTAACATACTTAGTGCCTCCATCACTTTGAAGGAATTTTATGTGCATATTAAATATATTTTTAGTCATAGCCACAAAGGTTTGAAAATGATGAAAAACTTCAGATTTCCTTTTCATTGGATAAATCCATGAGTAACGAGAATAATCATCGGTGAAAAGCACATAATACCTAAAGCCAGAAATAGAATCAACCGTAGAGATCCAAACATCAGAATATATTAAATAAAACGGAACTGACACACGTTTATTATGTAAAGGAAAGGGAAGCTGAGTTGATTTACTCAACGCCCATCTTTTACAAAAGGGAAATGAGATTGAAAATTTAGAACCTAAAGCAGAACCTAAACGAGATAAAATTGATGCAGACGAGTGACCAAGACGCTGATGCTAGATAGTGGAGAGGGCAGTGAGCGCGTGAGGTGACAGAAGGGACAATGGATATAAACCATCTTTACATGGGACTTGAAAAAGTAGGGAACCAGAACGTGAGTCATAGATATGGAAAATTTGAGGAAAGAAACATATAACAACATTGTTATCGACGGTAAATCGAGCCACAGATAAGAGATTTTTCCAAAGAGATGGAACAAGAAAAACGTTTTTAAGTGTGAAGGGAAGAGAATTAAGAGAAATAGGAATAGTACCAATGGACATTATGTTAAAATGGCCACCATTACCCAATTGAACCGAATTATTACCATTGTAATGTTGCGGATATTGGAGGGTGCTAGGATCATCGGTCATGTGATGGGTGGCACCGTTGTCTGGGTACCACGTGGGGTTCAGGTACTGCATGACTTGGGAGCTAGCAAAAGGTGGAAAAAAATCAAGCCCATGATAACGATGAGAACACTGTTGGGCTGAGTGTTGATTCATTGAACAGTTGGGGCACCAAGGGCCAGGGACCGAGCCTAATAAGCCTTGTGAGTTCCACTTACCACATCGCATGCCACGAGGAGGGTCATTCATATTTGGCCCATTCCAAGGGTGGAAGGGTGCATTCCAGTTGCCGCGATTTTGACGACAATTACGACCATGATTGTTGCTGTGATGTTGCCTTCCACATCCTCATTTGTGACCTTGCTAGCTACCTTTGGTAAGTGGATGAGATTGATTTCCACGAGGATGGTTCTGGGGTTGTTGGTAGGTGGTGATGAGAGCTGTCTGTGTAGTAGTTGAAGTGGATGAGTCGTTGGGGTTCTGAAGATCAAAAGCAAGAATCCGTGTGTGTAACTCGGTGAAGGATGGCAAGGGTTTCGAGTTAATGACGGTTGTAAGGAGCATACAATAGTCGGGACCTAACTCCCAAAGCACCATGAAAACCAAGTCGTTGTTAAAGACAGGTTATCCAACATGAACGAGTTCATCAACGAGATTCTTGAAGTGTTGCAGGAACTCAGAGACGGAACGAGTGCCTTTATGAAGATCTAGTAATTGGAAACAGAGGTTGGCTACGTTGGCGATAGAGTTATGGGAGAAATGTTCCTCTAGGCAGTCCCAAACGGCTTTAGCCATGTCATGGCTAACCGTTAAGGCAAGAACAGGTTCAGAGAGAGTGGAGGTGATGTAACTTACAACAAGTTGATCATGTTGGTACCATGTGAGGTATGCAGGGTTGGGGACCACAAAGGAGATAATGGCTTATGTAACATCAGTAGAAGAACCATCAGAGTCGGTTGTGGTGCGTGGAGGAGCAGGAGTGGTGATGGTGATTGTACTCGACGGTGAGGGAAAAGAGCCATCAATGAATTTCCATAAATCATGCCCGATAAGGAACGGACGAAGTTGACGCATCCAGTTGAGATAATTTGTCTCCGTTAGTTTCAGAAATTGATCAACATTTGGGCCAGGTAAGTGAGGTGAAGAAGCACCAGAGGTTGACATAGCGAAAAGTGAAGATTGGTTAGGAAGCAATAAAGCCAGAAATGGATGATACCATGTAGAAAGTGAAGAACAATAGGGTAGGAAACATTAACCAGATAAAGAGAAATTGTTGGAATTCACACTTCATTCATTATCGTATGCGGATTATATAATACATTATCAACAAGAGTCCTATATGAGATTAGATTACATGAGAGAATATTCTAAGTATACAAGTAACAAACGAATAATGCACGTGATCTAGGACTCTAGATTAACACTTTGTACAATATCTAGGGATTTACTTCTATTAATGTGGTCATCAAACTTTATACAATATCTGTAGCATGATGTCATAATTTTGCAATAGTTTGTAGATCAACATTGTTAGAAAATTAAACTATTTGATGAAACACAATGATTAGTTTCCAATCTCATACCAAGTTCGATATAGGTTTCGGGATACTGCACAAGTGCTACTTGGACAACAGATTATGTTTAAAATGGCCATCTAAAAAATGTTAAGCCATTCTCAATTAAATTTTCGTTGCAACAACAGGTCAACTGATTTTGTTCGATTTTTGTGTCTTAAAAGTTGCGCGCAATTTTTACATTGCAACAAAATTTTGATGAGAAATGCTAAGAAGATTCTCTTAAAAGTTAGATTCTCATAGGATTTCTCAAAATTGATAGAGGTGACAATTTGACTTAATTTTGTGTGTTTAGGAGCCAAATTCTAACAAGGATGTAATTTTCCCTACATTATAAAAGTTACATTTATTGCACTTTGTTGGTCACCTAGCCTTCGGGCTCGATCTTATTGAATAAATTGGGTCGACGCATTTGTCCCAAAAAAAAAAAAATCGGGTCGACGCAATTGTCTCACAAGTTGACATCTATCTTTTCATTGAGTATTTCATCCAATATAGTTTGGGGTGGAATGTTTTGTCATTCTATCATATCATACTCTTATCATACGGTATCATATTTTTTTGTGCCCTTATTATATATTAAAAGTTTGAAGTGTATAATAAGAATTTTAAAGTACCAATAACAATTTCCATTATATAATACTAATTATTAACTTTTTTTTTGAACAAATTAAGGATAGTATCTACACTAAGAAGGTGGGGAAATGAGTTAAACCTTACAATGAGTTTGTCATAATAATGTGGTTCAACTTTGCCTCTGGTGAAAATCGAACCTTAGACCTCTAATTTACAAGTGGAAAAGAATACAACTTCTATTTCATTTAGTTTGCAACTCAAAGTCTTTTTAGCTTCTATTTGATTTGGATTGTGACCCTAACTTTTATCTTTAATACTTGATGCATGGTTTGACTTGATAAATGTCACATCTCGGCCCAGGCCCCCATCAGATCATGGGGTCGACTCCACCGTAGTACGATATTGTCCGCTTTGGGCCCCGACTACGCCCTCACGGTTTTGTTTCTGGGAACTCACACGAGAACTTCCCAGTGGGTCACCCATCATGGGATTGCTCTCGTTGCGATCCCGCTTAACTTCGAAGTTCCTATGAAACTTGAAGCCAATGAGCTCCCAAAAGGACTCGTGCTAGGTAAGGATGAGAATATACATTTAAGGATCACTCCCCTAGGCGATGTGGGATGTTACAATCCACCCCCTTAGGGGCCGACGTCTTCGTCGGCACATTTTCGACTAGAGATTGGCTCTGATACCAAATTGTCACATCTCGGCCCGGGCCCCCACCACATCCCGGGCTCGACTCCACCGTAACACGATATTGTCCGCTTTGGGCCCTGACTACGCCCTCACGGTTTTGTTTCGGGGAACTCACACGAGAACTTCCCAGTGGGTCACCCATTATAGGATTGCTTTCGTTGCGATCTCGCTTAACTTCGGAGTTCCTACGGAACCCCGAAGCCAATGAGCTCCCAAAAGATCTCGTACTATGTAAGGATGGAAATATACATTTAAGAATCACTCCCCTGGACGATGTGGGATGTTATAATAAATGTGTGTGAAATAATGAAGAATGATGATTTCTTGGTTGTAGGTTATAGGTATATTAGATTATTTCAAAAGTTAAAGATGATACTGAGTTTCATCTTAATATGTGGGCTACTTAACAAAAAAATGAAACAAAACTTTTTTTGGGCCCAAATATAAAATAGCCCAATACCAAATTGGCACAATGCTTACGATACTATATTACCATGTCAATCGAATTTTATGGCATACCGTATGCCAATTGAATTTTATCGCATACCGAAATAATGATACTAGACATTGTCATACCAAAATGTTGGTATGATAATTGGTATGAGAATTTGGTATGGTAACCGTACTAAACTCACCTGCAAATTCAAGAACTATTTAAGGGGTCATTTGAATGTGCTTTTGAAAGAACCAAAATCACTTCCAAATGAGTAAAGACACTTCAGTTTAACAAAATGGTTATTTGACAAATATTTCTTATAAAAACGATATTATAAAGTGCTATGAACAATGAACTCTAGTGAGTAAAAGCGCTTTATAGAGTAGCACATTCAAACCAACCCTAACAATTTTTTTTTTAGTACATCAATATTTTTACACTAGGGTATGGGAGAGTTTGACTAAGCCACACAATATGTAACCTAATTTGGTATCGAATTCGAAATCCATGAGATTCAAACCTAAGACCTCGTACTTTCAAGTGAAGAGAAATATTATCAAATCGTAATATTGAGTGGCAAACCAACCCTAACAGTTGAATGAGGAATTTCACCCCAAAACTATGGATGTAAGGTAATACTGACTTTTCAAATTCAAAAGCATCTCTTGGCCAATAACAAAAGCTACTTGAAGTCAATGGCAAAAGCGAGCAACGACATGTCGTTGGCATAAGTAAAATCGTCGATCACATTAAGGGCTGGTTTGGTATTGCTGTGCTTTGAAAAAAAACTGTTATGAGAATAAGCGGCTGTGCTGTGAGAATAAGCGGCTGTGAAATAAATCAGCAGAGTGTTTGGTAAACTTTTTTGTAAAAGTGCTTTTGAAAAAAAAAGCAGTCTGATAGTGGATCTTTTCATTAAAGGAGCACTGTAGTTCTGTGTGCTTTGAAAAAAAACCAGTTTTCCAAAGCTACAAATTGCAGCTTCAGCTTTTTCCTTTGATTTCAGCTTATTCTCACAGCAGCTTCCAAAATAAGTCATTTTTTTTAAATTTACCAAACACCAAAAACACTCCCAACTTTTTTTCATAGGAGCTTTTTTTTTTAGAGTAAATTGTAGTTATGGTCCCTTAACTTTAACTCAATTGGAGCAATGGTCCCTCAACTAAAAATCCATTACCTTTGGTCCCTCAACTTATCAAAACGTGCAGCTATGGTCCCTCAACTAAAAATCCATTACCATTGGTCCCTGAACTTTAATTCAAGTGGAGAAATGGTCCTTTAATTTTAATCCAATTGTAGCAATGGTCCTTACAATATACTCGTTTTGACAAATTTTTTGACATAGTTGACGAAAAAAACCATAATTATACACTTTGATGAGTTGAGGGACCCTAATTATATAAATGGTAATTCCAACATAGCTTATTTTGACAAAATTGATGAAAAGGACTATAGCTACACATTTTGATAAGTTGAGGGATCAATGGTAATGAATTTTTAGTTGAGAGACCATTTCTCCAATTTGATTAAAGTTGAGGTACCATTTGTACAATTTACTCGTTTTTTTTAAATCACCTCAACCCCAAACTGGGGCTAACCACGACGCCTCTCAGTCTCCCACACACCGAACGCTGCATCGAACTCTATCTATATCCCTCTCTCTCTAATGGCGGCCCAAGCTCGAAAAGGCGGAATCTCCCTCCCGGAACGGCGGAACCCTAAGAAGGAAGGCGACGGCGTGATCGCGAAGCTCGCGCAGTCCGAAATTGTCATTCGGGGAAAGCAAGCCGCAAACGACGCCGCATTTGTCACGAAGAAGCTCATGAAGAGCACCGGCAAGGCCGCCTGGATCGCCGGTACCTCGTTCCTCATACTGGTGGTGCCGTTGATCATCGCCATGGACCGCGAGCAGCAGCTCAACGAGCTCGAGCTCCAGCAGGCCAACATCCTGGGCGCTGCGCCGCCCCAGAAGTAAGTCGAGCCGGGTCCGGTTCGGTTCGGGTCTAAGACATCGGTACCATCCCCCTTCTCTTTACACCATTCTGTATCGTTAGGGTTCGAGATTGGTGAATCTTTTTTGGGAGAGGGGTTTTCTGTGATGATTGCGTAATTTCCTAGGGTTTAAGTGAAATTCGATTTGGGATTACAATAATTTGTAGGTCTGGTGTTTTGATTTTGAGATAATGAGTAGATTGAATTACTGAAACTTCCGGCGGTTTGTATGAATCGTATTTGAGAATTAAAAGTTTTAGAGCTGAATTTGTTTTCAGGATTAGTAAATTTTGTGCTGCTTGATTTAGTATTCAGGTGGTGATAACAATGATATTTGAAGTGGATTTACATGGGCATGTGTTCTGCTTTGTTTAATTTATGGCTTTTTTCAAAGAATTTGGATGTGTAATGAGTTGGGAAACTCAATGAAGTTCAGTTTTCATGCTTGTGGAGTTTTAAGAGTTTTCTTCAACTTATGTTGCTCCCTGAGAAATGAGCATTATGCCTAAAGATCACGGTTTTTGTTTCATGTTCTGGTGTAAACTTTCATATGGCAAGCATCTTGGTGAGGTGGTGCTTCTTGTTTTAACACTGTTTCAGTGATAGAATTTTCGGTGGAGATGTGTAGGATAGGGGACGAGGCTTAATTAGTATTTACCAGCTTTCTCGCTTTATGTAGAGATGTTTTCGGACTTCGATTTTAGGTTATTTGATTGTATGAGACTCAAGGAAACTCAATATTAAATTGGCTCTATTAAGGGGTGTTTTGTTGGCCTTGGCACGGTCAACAAATCTAGGGTGTCTTTCACCGTACAATACAGATAAGTGATTATCCTTTTCTAGCATGTAGAACTTTGTTTTACTGTGGTTCTAAACTGTACGATGCATGATCTGAGCGTATGTATTTTCACCAAATCCTTTCTGGAATTGGTCGAGGGGTGATTTGTTTGACTTGATTCAAGTACATGGTATGGTAAATGCCTGTTATTCGTACATAATTAGTCGGTGAATGGTTTGGCTGAGCTTATCACTCTATTAGAATGTTCAGTGTAGTGCACAGACTTTTGATTTAGATATTCCTTTCTATCTGCCTACTCGGTTGTGAAAATCGGGGTTAGTTTGGGTTTGTATCCTTCATAAACTGATGTACACCATCTCCTTCTCCAACTTTCCGGAAGACAGAGTGCTTATAATGTAGAAAGATTGCGGTCGTGGGGAGTTGGTTAAGGTCTAAGGCAATCCCCTTTTGTAGGCACCACTTCACATTTTCAGAAGGTTGTCATTGTGTATGTAGAATTCCCTCCCTTAGGTACCGTTTGGTACGTGGGATGGGACGGAACTCAGTGGGACGAGGTGTTCCGTCCCACGTTTGGTGCGCCTAAAACGGGTGGAATGTGCTGTTCCACGGAACGAATTTTGGCTGAATTTTCGTTACACCTCTCCCCCCTGGAACGACTCGTTCCATCGCGTGGAACACAAAATTATAATTTTTTTGGACAACAATACCCCTCTTATTTTTCATTAATTCCATTGTCTACCATCCCCTCTCTCCCGTCACGTCCCTCTCTTCTACCCTCCCTCCTTCCTTTAGCCTCATCCTCCTCCACCACACACCCAACAACCCAACTATGGCTAACCCAATCCTAGCAAACCCAGCTTCCTCCTGCCGTTAGATTTTCAAATCATTTGGTTTGGTTTCAGATCTACTGAGTGCTGGTTTGGTTTCAAACCCAGCTTCCTCTCCGGCACTGCCACTGGTGACGATGAACAAGAAGAAATTAAAGGGGGCAGAGCCCTCGAAATCCACTACGGGATCTCAATGCCATCATCGTTCACAGTAGCAACAATGGCAACGATGCTTTGTCTTCCATCTCCGTCGAAGCGTCGCGAGGTTGCCTCAGGTTCTTTCTCTCTCATCATTCTTCTTCATCTAATTCCAAAACCCATCTTTACACAACAAAAAGTTGTCGAAAGCCCCTAAATCAGCTCCTGCTATGAAGCCAATACCATCAAAATCCAAGGACAACTGGTCCAAATTCAATGCTTAGGAAATCCCAGAGAAACCCACCCCACGAAATGAAAGTAAATCTAAGAATAATTCTTCTTGTTTGTACTAGTGGCAATTTGGAAACAAGTTGCTCAATTTCCGACTTCACTCCACCTTCATATATACGGTTGCAGAAAATCCAAGTTTTGCAGAAAATCCATTAGGTTGAGTTGATGGAGTCAACGAAGAAATATGGGTAAATTTGTCATTTAATCATTCGTTCCATTCCGTCCTACGGGTACCAAACGCGAAATTGTCCCATTCCATCCTATGCTACCAAACGTAGCATGGAACTTATGTTTTGTTCCGTCCCGTTTTGTCCTGTTCCATCCATTCTGCGTACCAAACGGTACCTTAGTCATAACCATTGTGGTATGTGTTTTAACCCTTATACGAGTCCATTGGTGATATGTTGGCTATTTGCACAGATTTTATTGTACACGCCTCTTCATTTTTCGTTTCAAACCCTTGATCGATGGCTGGCATGCGTATTTGTTGTAGCTGGCGACGCTTGCCATGTTGAATGACGATATGATTAGGGTTGTCATAAGAAGTGATTGGTTAGCGTACGCGTTATAGGTAGTTCTGATTTTCCAGTTTGGAAAAGAATGATATGTGGTGAGATATGGTGCGGTAGTTGTATAAAGATTGTGAATTTATAACCTGGACCAACAACATTCAGTTTTACTGGTTGTATAGCTTTATCTTTATGCCTGCCCACTCATTGGAATGATAGAGCTGAAACTTAATGACTAGAGTGTAGTAGAACTATGTCCTAAGGACTCATTTGGTATAGGGGATTGGATTGGAATGAATAACACACAAAATTCTACGTATTTTGAAGGTAGAGAAGAATGATATTTCATTTTAAGGGATTAGAGGAGGATTAGTGTTGGAGCGGAATATTGTCCTCCAATTCTCCAACAAGTAATTGTGTAACCATGTTGTGAAGTGTGCATGACACCATCTCCGCTTGCCATCAAAGAGGGAGGAGGGGCACTTGCAAGTAGGAATGGGCAACGGTTATGGTGGGTGGGTAACCGCAATTATTTACCCATAATCGTTTATGTTCATACTGACATAACCGTTTACCCGTTGAGTAATTGCATAAACGATTATACCCATACCCATAACCGTTTATAAACGGGCCATAACCGTGTACCCATTTAACCATAATCGTTTACCTGTTTAACCATAACCATTTACCCGTTTTTAAACTCGTTTATCATTTTTTTACCCATTTACCCATTTCTTCACCCGTCTACATGTTTTTTTTAACAACTTGAAAATTACAAAAGAAAAATTTGTCATAATTTTCGTTTTTTGACAATTAAACACCGTTATAGGTACATTTTAGCATGCATTTCCTTATTTTAATCATTTAAGTCTTCATAGAATTCCATTGAAGTAATAGTTTATTTTTCTAGGAAACAAAGCAACCCAATGGAAGCCCCTATGATTCTTGCAATTGCAAATTTACTTGGAGTACCATAGTTGTCCCTACCCAAGATTAGTAGAGCCCCAATGCTGAGACGCCACAAGCTTGGCCATACATCTTGTTGTACCTAAGAAAATGGCAGATAAAGATCCAAGGTATGAGTGGTAAGTGCCTGAATTTCTCAAGTCCGTGGAAGATAAAAAACCATAAGATCTCGTTGATCGATCTCAGTGTTGTTCCTTAAACTCGGGCATTCATAACTGTGAATGTTGCTTGCCTACCTGTTACAAAGCTGATGGCAATGGCGAGGCCTGACGAGTATCTGTTTTCCTTGTTATACAACAAGCCAAATAACATAGCAAGGCCTAATGCAAGTGAGCATTTGAGAGAAAAAATTAAACTCCTGCGACTCGGGAGAGAGGAGAGGGAAGGCAGCGAGGAGGGAGAGATGAGCATGGGACAGGGCATTTGAGACTCTAAGGGCTGGTTTGGTATTGCTGTGCTTTGAAAAAAAGCTGCTGTGAGAATAAGCGGCTGTGCTGTGAGAATAAGCGGCTGTGAAATAAATCAGCAAAGTGTTTGGTAAACTTTTTTGTAAAAGTGCTTTTGGAAAAAAAAGCAGTCTAATAGTGGGTCTTTTCATTAAAGAAGCACTGTAGCTCCGTGTGCTTTGAAAAAAAGCCAGTTTTCCAAAGCTGCAAATAGCAGCTTCAGCTTTTTCCTTTGATTTCAGCTTATTCTCACAGCAGCTTCCAAAATAAGCCCTTTTTTTTCAGTTTACCAAACACCTAAAACCCTCACAGCTTTTTTTCATGGGTGCTTTTTTTTTAAGCACCTCACTCCCAAACTAGGTCTAAGTCTAGCGGAGAGATTTAAAATTTAGGGTTTTTAATTTTTTTTTATAAATTTTATGTATATTAAATTAAATGGGTAAATGGATATCTGTTATAACCACGGGTAATACTCATAACCGATGGATACCTGTTATAATCGCGAGTAATACCCATAACCGTCCATTTAAATTTCACGGAGGGTAAATCGCCAAAATGGTCCCTGAGATTCCAAATCGATAAAAGTGGTCTCTAAAGATTGTCCACCATCCATCAATTTGGTTATTCTGTTAAAAATTTCGTTAAGTGTCCCAGAGCTCTTGGCTGGAAGTTTGGGCAATTTTCAAAGCTTCGTAACTCAATCGTTTCTTAACCAAATTCGACCCATAATATATCAAAATGAAGATAGGAACGTGTAGAATAAGATTATACCATTTTGAAGTCCAATGGCTGCCGGAGATTTCCGGAAAATAGCCTCAAAATTGACTGGTCCGAGTGAAAACTTGAAAACTCGTCGGAAACTGGGTAAACTTTAAACGTTCATAACTTCTTCAATACTCAACGAAATCAAGTGATTCAAAAATCAAAATCATACTTCTCGATGAAACGAAGAGAATGGTACCTTTTTTGACGGCTAAATTGCCGTGGTTTGGCTGGAAAACGGCTCAAAAATGGCTGTCTTGGTCTCTAGTTAGCCACTTTCGAGCATTTTTCCGGCCAAAACACGACGAGTTAGCCATCAAAAAATGTACTATTCTCTTCATCTTGTCAAAAAGTATGATTTTCATTTTTGAATCACTTGATTTTGTTGAGTATTGAAGAAGTTTGAACGTTTAAAGTTTACCCAGTTTCCGGTGAGTTTTCAAGTTTTCACTTGGACCAGTCAACTTTGAGGCTATTTTTCGGCAATTTCCGGCAACCATTGGACTTGAAATAGGTATAATCTTATTCTACACTTTCCTATCTCCATTTTGATATATTATGGGTCGAATTTGGTTAAGAAACGATTGAGTTACGAAACTTTGAAAATTGCCTAATCTTCCGGCCAAGAGCTCCGGGACACAAAACGGAATTTTTAACG